GTACTTATATTGTAAAGCATTTGGATTTACATTGAAAATCAGTGCCTAGTAGAGCAACAAATGTGTTCAGGTGACATTAACATTTTAAAGATTATTTTTTTCTTTAGGGTAATAGTTATTAAAAGAGAAATAAATTTTGACAATATCTTTTATTTATATATATTTTTAAAGATTTTATTTATTTGAGAGAGAGAGAGAGTGCATGGACACACAAGTGTGGGGGAGGGGCAGATGGAAAAGGAGAAGCAGACTCCCTGCTGAGGACAGAGCTCAACGGACTTGGGGGCTCCACTCCCTCTGGGATCCTGAGATCATGACCTGAATGGAAGTGAGATGCTTAAATGACTGAGCCACGTAGGCACCCCCACAATATCTTTTAATATTTGATGACTGATCAGAAGGAATGTTATAATGTAGACCTTCTCTTCTCTCATGTACATTTGCTACAGTATAGATTAAAATAGCACCAAGTGCTCTAACATATAATATCAAAAATTTGAAAGAACTTTTTGTTTACTGGAGTCTAATGCTGGTGTTTTTACTGTAGATCTTTTCTCTGTTTGGTGACTCATACATACATGCATGCACACACTCTGTAACATGGTAAGTACATTACTATGTATGAAAACCACTCCTATTTTGTGTCTATGTGCTGTCTAAGACATAAGCATCTTTTGCAAACAGCTTTGGGAAAGGTAAAGAGAGCATGGCGAAGTATATATATATACTTCTTGAAACTATTGGCAACAAATGACAAGCATCACTTTTACTTGCATTTTATTCTCAGATCTCATGTGAGAATCAGTCATATCACCATACTTTCACACAAAGGCTGAGAAATGTAGCCTTTAGCTGAAGAGTGCCTTTTTGCACTCAACTCTATACCATGGAGAAGGGAAAGGAGTGTTGATAGAAAGCTTCAGTCTGTGCACGTGTGATGGAAAGGCTCTTAAAGTCCAGTCTCTCAAAGAGTCAGCCTTTAGTCCTCCCTGCGATACTCCTCCCAGTTGACTGTCTAACCTGGTATGAAGTATATCTAGTGTTTTGAAAGGAATCAGTTGTTAAAAAATCTTCCTAATGTATTGTCAAGACTCTACTATGCATCAGTATTGTGGTCTTCTTGGTTTCAGACACACACTTTTTTTTTTTTTAAGATTTTATTTATTTGAAAAAGAAAAGTTAGGGGGAGAGAGAGAGAGAATGAGTGCAAGCACGAACAAGGTGGCGGGGCAGAGGGAGAAGGAGACGCAAACTTCCTGCTGAGCTGATCCCAGGAACCCTGGATCACGTCCTAAGCAGAAGGCAGATGCTTAACCCACTGAGTCACCCAGGTGCCCCACTGACATACATTAAATTTTACATGTCTTTGAGATGTGGGTCTAGTACCATACCTAGGACTCGGTTTTCAGTATTTGTTATGCTTAGGGGGGTTTTATCATTTCCACCCTGGTTTAGGGTATTCTACTTTTGTCAATAAAATACAAGCTGCATTTGTTTTCTTGGAGAGCTATCAATCTGCATTCATCTCAAGTTTGTGAGTCGCAGGTCCTTTCATATTAATTATGCCCCACATATTTACCTTATGACTTTCATGTATTTAGCAAATGCTTTATTCCTTTGGTTAACATATTTACCCCTGGACTTCTGCCTCAGCTGCTAAAGCTTCTCCGGTATTTTTTAGCAGCTATGTCCTTATCTTTTGGAAAAACCAGAAATAATCATGCTGTGAAACGTGGCTGAGGCTACAGGTCACTAACTTTCTATAGTTAACTTTTGCAGTAACTTCCATGGTTTGATATGGTTCTTCCAGTTTTCACAACAATGCTTCAAAGATGGATTTTATCTATAAACCTAGTTCAGTCTGACTGAACTTGGTTTTTATGTTTGCTTTTGTTGTTTTATTTTTCTAATAAACAAAAGCAAAACTTATTTTATTTTTCAGGATTTTATACTTGGCTCATGATTATTACTGTATGAATACCTATGGCAAGAAAAGGAAGTAAAATTGCCTAAAATATCAGTATCTGGAAATAAGTACTTTCAGTATTTTGATGCCCAATCTTTTGTAAATTCTCTTTGTGTCAATACATGTACATAACATGCCCATAATGATATAGTTAGGTCAATATTATGAGCATCGTCTTTTCAATGACCTTTTTTCTCATTTTCATATTTTTTCTATTGTTGATGATGAGGCTACTTTAATTCTCTTCCATTTCCTTTCCTGCTACGGTAAATATTCCTGTATAGCTATTCTTTCTTCCAATGCATTTTTGTCAAGTGGGATTGATGCTGCATTTGGAATTATGGTCTGGTTGCCCGTTTCAGCATTCTGTCTCATTTGTTTTGGAGATGATCTAGAAATGTGCAGATCAGACCCTACATTCTTTTTTCATGATAAGTTCATTTTATTAAAAGAGTTTGGGCACTAGCTTTTTACTAGAATTTATACATTATTCTTCTATGTATTTACCCAATTTAGTACTTAGTCAACTCATGGAAAAGATGACTTTCCATTGGAGAGCTCACTTCACCCTGCAATTTATATATTAGAGTTTTGCAGAAATATTTTTAAGGATTATGAAACCTATTTCACATGACATAGCCTTGTCTAAGAAACAGCTTTTCTTTAAAGTTTTATTCAAATTTAAGAACCTGTGGTATTTCAAGACCTATCAAAATAGAATAACATCCCAGTCCAAAGGAAATGCTACTTATTTGATACCTAGCTTTAGTACCTCCATATTAAGTATTAATTTCTCTTTGAAAATGCTCTTAAACTTTTGATTCACAATGTATTTTATAATTTTCCAGAGATTGCTATTTACTTAGTTATTTAGAATTTTTATAGCATATAATTTTGATCTATGAAAAATGTCCATATCCCTCTTTACATATCTTGTCACTGAGAATGTAAGAGATGTGTTTTGGACAGGACAGTATTGCTGAACTCATCAGCCATATTTTTCCCTTTATGGCATCATCCATTTGTTTATATTGATGCCTAACTTACTATAGGTTTGTGCTCATAAAGACATTGGGATTATCATGGTGAGGAAAATAGACATATTGTCTCATCTTAAGGAAACTTGCAGTTTAATGAGAAGACAACTATTAAGGAAATATATATGCAAATAAATGTAAAGTTATGACCTACATAAATGGCAGAAGAGGTGTGGTGAGTGAGATTGCCTAAGAGACTAGTTGACTACGTTGATTGTTTATTGGTTGGCTGCTTCAAGGAAGGTTTTCCTGAGAGAGAGTTGAGCTGAGAGCTCTAGGATAAGGGAAGAGTTCCTATAGAAAAGGCTGAGATAGGAAGGGTCATGTCACAATTGAGTAAGTTTAAGAATGCCATTTAAGAGTTTTGGTCTTTATCCTGACAAAAGTGTAGGGCCAATACACAGAGGGGTGATGTGATCTAAATCACATTTAGAAAGAATCTGTGTATTTGTAATTTGGAGGAAAAATGTAGAAGGCAAAAAAAAAGTGTAGGTTCCTAGTTGGTGGGTTTTTGCAAGAATCCCATTTGCAAAAAAATGGTAGATTGGTTGAAGTGGTTGTGGTAGTAGAGATGAAGAGAGGTAGATGCATTCTACAGATATTTGGTGGTAAGAATTGAAAAGATTTGATGACTGATGTCATTTGCATCACATTTTTGTATTTGCAAATACAGGAGAGGAAAGAATCTAAGATGATACCTAAGTTTTTGGGTAACCAGACTTGGTGGAATTTGGTGCCATTTGCTGAGAGGTACAAAATGGAGAGGACCAGTTTTTGAGAGAAAGGTCATAGGTTTGGTTTGGATCAGTTGAAGAGATCAATTGTCTGATAGTAGATAGTAGATAGTAGATGTGACATTCTGGAATTACACAGTACTTCGGTTTAAGGCAGTAGGTAGTTTCTTTGAATATTATTTTAAAGTTTGCAATTCTTTTTAAAACTAGAATTTTAGAAAGTTTATTGCTCTTTGTTATTATTTAACATATTACCAAAAAAATAACTTAAATATTTAAAAATACACTTGATACTTTATGGGACTCCTCTAATACTTAATAGCTTTAAAGAGTGACGAGGCTTTGTTCTGTCTTGTAATTTTTTTATTTGCGTTTTTTTTGGGCAGCATAATATAACTATTCTCATCATCTAATAAATAGATTATATTGCTGTGAATGACCTTTCATTAATCAGCTGTACACAAAATAATGTAGGCAATAGTAGGGTATAAGGAGTTAAAAATTGTAACTAGTGGAGGCAACTGGCTGGCTCAGTCAGAAGAACATTGACTTGATCTTGGGGTAGTAAGTTCAACTCTACATTGGCTGTGGAACATACTTAAAGATATATATAACTAGTGGCTATATTAGAAGTATATGGTGTTTTTTCACAGAGTATAAACAATTTTTAACATCAGAGATGATATGATTTTTAGCAGATATTTAAGGACAGTCACTCTGTCCCACATAATGGGTTATGCTAACCTTAGTTACGGATATTCTTGGTGGCATACTGTTTTATACAAACCCAGATCTGAAATATTAATGTGCTCTATGAGTTACTCACTTTATTCTGATTATTTATGCTGTTGACTTTGTATTCCCCAAATATTAACAGTGTTAAAAATAACAAAATCTTTTGAGTTTGTGGAAGACTCTTAAGTGACTTTTCAGTGGAGCATTGACTAGTAAAGGGTTTGAAGTTTTTCTACCTTGCCATAATCATTCCTTAGATAAGGGTCCATTATGTTTTTTTCCTTTATTAACATGAGAATAAAAACGAAATTACAAAGGGTTTAGAAATAAACCATTTTCTATTCCTCGAATAGAAGTGAATATCATCAAAAAGAAAACAGAAACAATATAAAACTTTTCTAATTTCAATTTTGAGATTTTATTGCCTTTTAATGCAGTAGTATTTAGATATTTCTAACTTCAATCAAAATTTTAAGATGAATGCATTTTTCATGTTTTTAAAAACTAATATCTTATCATTTTTTATAGGTCTCATATCTTTTGGGTGAACAGAAGTCTACCTTTATGGGGCTTACAGGTTATGTACAATTTTGTTCTATCCCTCTACTTCTGGCTTTGTTCATATTTCATAGAGAAATACTGTTGGAGAGAAAACTATTGATATTAAAACTGAATTTGTTTTATTGCTTAATTAATCTTGATGCATGTCTTGGACAGATGTCTTTTTTCCCTATCCTTGTGTTTGCCTGAGCCCTGCATTCTACCTTTTGAGAATTTCCTTCTGATCAGGATTAGACTTCAGAAAGTTTTTGAGGGTATGGAGAAAAACAGAGTAAATCAGTGTATTAAGGCACCACAAGTTCTCAAAATGACTCTAGGTATTCATTTTATACAATCCTTGAAAAATTCATTAAAAGCCCATAACCGTGTTTGCTCTTTTACTGTATCTACAGTGTCTGGAACATGGTAGAATCACAGTAAATAATTATCAAGTGCATAAACAAGTGAATGAATGGCTCATATAACCAATAGCAAGAGCTTGGTCCCTAAACAGATAATTGTGTAAATAAAAGGAAAAATATGTTCTGGCATAAAAGGAGTCCTGAGGAAAGAGTAAGAAATGAGAGGGAACATGTCTGAATTATATTGTTGGGGTGTTCCCTAGAATATACCTCTTCTTTGTTCCTTTTCTGTTGAATTTTACGCCCAGCAAACTTTTTACATGTTCCCATTTCTCTGCTTTACATGTACTCTTGTCTCTCTCCTACAGATACTTTTTACTTTGTTATTTTTCAAAAGTAAAAGTTCTTTAAAGAGTACAGTCACTAAGATAAAAAGGTCAAAAATTACAGATTGGAAGACAGTTGAATCTTGGAAGTAATGGAAAGACTCTAAAACCAACTGTATAAACAGCCTTTAAAATACTTTAAAATCAAGTGTTTGGTTTGTTTTTTAGTCATTAGGATTGTGAAGTCTGTACATTTTAAATGTTATAATGGATTATTTTAACTATGAATGCATTGTGTTTATAACTATGAAATCAAGTTTTTACTGTCTCGATATTTCATACTTTTTTTTGTAGTCAAGTTGCATTTAATTTTTTTTGTACTGATTTTCATTGCAGTGTCATTAAGTACAAATACTTTTTCAAATATTTAACTGTTCACTAAAAATGTAGTCTTTTAATCTCTAGCTTGATTCCTATATTATTCTTCAGTGAGATACACTTTTAAAGTAAGTTAATATTTTTAAGAATAGTCATATATGGCCTTGAAATACATTTTCAAATTGCTTTTATCTGATAATGATATTTTACAATAATAATAATAATAATAATAATGTTCATTTTCAAATAGGATTTTGAGTAATCCATGCTACAAATGTTCTAGAGACCATCTAACACTACTTATAGAAAAAAAGCATGGATGATTATGATTTAAAGGACTTGTGGAGAACATTTAAGAGGTGTGCATTTTATATCAGAACAATGCCTGGCTTCCATATGTACTTCTGAATATATTTTACTTGTATTGCCATGCATTCATATGCTTTTTTATTATACTTCTGTTTTAATATTCACTTAAATCAAAGTTTTCATTCCAATAGGAGTTAAAATTTGAAACTCCAGGGTATCTGCCTTTCTTATGCAGATAGTCTTAAACCTCAAAATCTTTAAATCAATATATTTGTTATTAGAGTAATTTCTTGTTTATGCTTGCTTATTTTGCTTCTATTCATCTACTCCAAAGTGCTGAAAGTACTTAATACAAAATAATTTGGATATTTTTTCTAGTTACCTTTTCTGTTGCAGTTATAGCCTTTTGGTAGTTCAGCAGCAGAAATTGTATATGTAATAGAGAATGTAGAGAAAGGTGGAAGCTTGTCCAGGACATGCTCTTCCAGCTGTGAAAGAGGAATTGGTTATGAAGTCCATTCAAATAAAATCTGACGTATCTTGAACTGTTGATGTGGACTATTTTGTTTAGTGTTCAAGGATGTTGCTGTTTCATTTTGTTTGAGGTGGGTGACAGGAGAGAATGTATCTCTCAAGTTGAAGCTTACATTCTTTTATTTTCTGAAAGGAACTGCTGTCGTTGATAGATGTTGTAGAGGTGGTGGAGGTGTTGCTGGGAGAGGGTAGTGTTTGTGGTGGTGCAGTTGTGTGTGATTATGCATATTAGGAACACACACAAAAGAACCTATTCTCTACATACCATGTAAACTCCAGCCAGTCTGACTATTCTAATTCCACATTTATATTTGAGATAATAAAAGTATTTATTAAGGAGTATTAGGAATATAAAACTAAGCTGTAGTGTTGGGAATGGCTTGCAACCTGCCACCTGTATATAGAAGTTAGAGTGCCACATAATACCTCCTTATGTTTATATCTGTATATGATACAGATACATGCATACATATACACATATATGTCCATATTTATAAAGTTATTAGTATTATAATCATGAATATATTTTTAAAATTTTATTGCATTTTCTCATTAAGGTACATTTTTTTTTCAGGTTTCAGTGGCATTGATAAGTCTGTTTGAAACAATACTACTTGGTTATCTCAGTTATAAGGTAAGTTATTTTAATTGGAAGTTTTTGGCTGATAGAACACATTACTAACATAACCCAGTATTCCTCTATTTATAATTTATACCCTGGGGTAAAGCACGTTCGTCTTAAACCCCTTTAATTATTTTGGGCCTCTGTGGTATGTGATAAAAATCTGTAGTATAATAATGTTTTCCTTGATGGCTTAAAATATTTCACTAATTCCTGTGCTTAACTTACCTATTATATAATGCTTATGTGAGGCAAGCAAATGGAATGGTCTTGCTTTTAATTGTTCTTAACCTCTTTTCCTGATCTATAGAAAAAAATATTGAGGGAACAAAAACATGTCTGCTAGGCATTATTTTAATGAATTATTTAATTTTTGGTGAGGCTGTGTCTGGCTAACACAATTTAACAAATATTTATTGAGTCCATATTTGATGAAGAGCTCCATACTGTGCATTGTTCTTTTCTCAGTGAGTTTCCATCTAGAAAGGGGGATAAGCAGGAGAAAATTATGCAGATACAAAATACAAATAATAATAATACAAAACAGAACAGTAGGTACTTCCGGTGAGGAGCAAATCAAGTCCCATGGGGGTAGAGAGATATCTTATCATATGATGAAAAGAAAATACTTGACTGATTTAAGCAGAGCAGAATCCTTGAATCAGTGATTTCAATAAGGAAAGATGAAAAGACAAGACACCAGGGATTTATAGAATTAGCAAAGGCATAAAAGAAGTAATGTGCATATAAAATTGGAAGAATAATATAGAAGTCTAGGCAGAATTTGGGGGCATTTGGGAAAATATTGGTTGGGAAAATTTGGCACAATATTGTGAGAGCCTTGTATAACAACATATAATGGGAATTTGATGGAGAATGTTGAACATGAGAGTTCTATAATTGTAATTAAGTTTTAAGAGTATTAGTTCAGAACATCTGTGCAGCACAGGTCAGAGAGGCATCACACTGAGAGCCATGTGCTAAATTAAGACACAATTATAGGAAGGAAAACTGGGAATGAGTTTTTGGCTGGGTCAATAGAATAGACAGTTGATGCAAGATGAAATATAAAGAAATCATCAACCAATTGGTTGAGAAAGTTGAGGAAAAAGCATGATCAAACATCACTTTAACATTTTCTAAATTCAAATGACTGGGATCAAGGCAAGAAAACTTAGAAAAATTACACCAAGAAAAAATCAGATTGGAGTCAAGATAGATATAATAATGGAAACGTTTTGGAAATAGTGAATTTGAGGAGCTTATGGATAGATAGGTAGACATGACATGTGGACAACTAAAAATGAGAATCTGAAACATGCAGGGAAGAGAGATTTAAGATGTGGAGGTCATTTTCACAGAGATGGTGAAGGAAGCATGTAAGTGTCTTAAGTATGGGATAATAACCAACAGAGAAGCTAAGGCTCCTTTGATGGAGATGCTTCATTATGGTTGTTGGAAGAAGGACAGAGTAATCAGGGAACACAGAGACATAAAAAGAAAGGTAGAAAGACTTTGGAAATCATTTGTTATTCACTTGTAAGAAACCAATTTCAATGGTGTACAATTAGGAGTAGAAGTGCGAAATGAAGAATGTTGATTAACTGGGATAGGGTCACTACCCTAGAAGTGGTCAAATGAGGCAGAGAGGATTGCCCAATGATGGAAAAAATCTGCATCCTTTAGAGAAACTATGTAGAAAGGACTAAAAAAAAAATGATAGATGAAGCAAGTTTTACACAAGTAAGAATGAATAAATTAAGTAATTGGTAGCTATTTATGGCTTATAATTAAGGCAAATTTGGATAGCAGAAACTCAGTGAGCTCCTCCTCTGAAATTAGATTTTTTCTTCAAATTAGATTTTTGAGAAAAATTATAGAGAGGTACGCAGAAATGGATAGTGCATTAGCAACTATATACATTCTAATATTGTTCTTTGATATGTTAGGTTCTAAACTATCAACGTTAATAGCAAATCAATATTTATTTTTATATTTGTTTACATGTATATACAGATAATGTGCATATTGTATATATTATATACATATATATAATATTTAAAAGCAAATTTAATACAGTAATCTGTAAGCACTTTATAATTCTTGAAGTTAAGCATTCTACAATAAGCATGATGACTTAATCCTTAACAGAACAGTTTAAACAATCGTGGAGACTGCAGGTTTCGAAAAACAAAAACAATGAATAAAAAGAATTTTAAATGAGCAAAAACTCTATCAAGTGCATGTAGAGGTTAGCAGATAATGATTTAAAAATCCCTGACATCAACTTATTGAATCCTCCATCCTACAGAAGTGCAGGTCTGTACTTAAATCATCATTCCATTCATGTTTATAGCTCCTTGGCAGAACAACCACGGGATCGCCCAGCAGTAAAGTTCTTATTCTTCTGTTACCATAAATATCCTCTATGTCTTTATCAACTGCTTTCAAAATAGAACTCTATTTATACACACACATTCATTAAATCAAAAGGAAATGAAAACAAACCCCAGCATAATTTCCAAAATTCTGCAAACAAAAATCCAACATACCTAGAAGGCTTCTGTTAAATCTACAGTTCTTTTTTCTATAATCACTTTATAAAAAGCAACAGTTTTGAAATTTTAACACATGATGGGCTCCTTTCTGGCAAAGAACAAAGGATTTGACTAGGACTCCCAGACACCCATAGATACTGGTGATTCTTCTTCTTCTTCTTTTTTTCCCCCCCCTAAGATTTTATTTATTTTTAGAGAGAGAGAGAGAGAGAGTGCAAGGGTGTGAGTGAGAATGGGACTAGGGGCAGAGGGGAAAGGAGAGGCACAAACAGACTCCCCACGGAGCACCATGACCTTGAGGTCATGACCCAAGCCAGCGGAAATCAAGAGTTGGTTTCTTAATGGACTGAGCCACCCAGGTGCCCCAATACTGGTGATGTTGCTTCTGGTGCCATGGAAATGGTGAATCTGATTATTTTTCAGTTTATATTTAGAGATACAAAATAAGACTACCTTAGGGTTACTACACTATTTTAAATTCACTAAAAGAAGATAGGTTATCAGTCTCTTTAGTTTCATCTTTACATACAGGTATTTTTTTTTTAAGATTTTATTTATTTATTTGAGAGAGAGAGAGAGCAATAAGAGAGACCATGAGAGGGTAGAAGGTCAGAGGGAGAAGCAGACTCCCTGTGGAGCTGGGAGCCCAAAGTAGGACTCGATCCAGAGACTCCAGGAACATGACCTGAGCTGAAGGCAGTCACTTAACCGACTGAGCCACACAGACGCCCATAGAGGTATTTTTAATATTGAAGAAGAAAGTGTTTTAAAAAAGTTCCTGGGTGGGGCGCCTGGGTGGCTCAGTGGGTTAAAGCCTCTGCCTTCAGCTCAGGTCATGATCCCAGGGTCCTGGGATCGAGCCCTGCATCGGGCTCTTTGCTTAGCGGGGAGCCTGCTTCCTCCTCTCTCTCTCTCTGCCTGCTTCTCTGCCTACTTGTGATCTCTGTCTGTCAAATAAATAAATAAAATCTTAAAAAAAAAAAAAAAGTTCCTGGGTACATCTTGGTCTAACAACAATATTACCATACATCTTATAGTTTTTTGAGTGCATTTTAGAGGTACATAGATAATAGTTACAGCTTCCATTTTTATTCATGATAAAAATAAAGCCTGATACATTTTAGAAAAGTATCTATTTTCCTGCATTTTTATTGATTAAGGAAAGTTAGGTCCATACCAAATGTTGTAAAATGGTTGGATTAATGTTTATTTATACTTTATTGAATTCCATAAGAGAAACGTAGTTCTACACACTTAAAACAGATAAAGCTACCTAAGAAATTATTTTTCTTCTCTCTCTCTTTTTTTAAAGATTTTATTTATTTATTTGACAGAGAGAGCAAGAGAACACAAGCAGGGGGAGCAGCAAAGAGAGAAAACAGTCTCTTTGCTGAGCAGGGAGTTTAGCGTGGGGCTCGATCCCAGAACCCTGGGATTGTGACCTGAGCCAAAGGCAGATGCTAACAGACTGAACCATTCAGGAGTCCCTAATTTATGCATTAACATACTTCTCGAGCCCTAACAGGCAAGGAAACAAGCAGTTCTGTAACATGTTATTAACACTTATCCAGGAGATCAGTGGTAAAGGCATAGGGAGTAGGGCATTCCAAGCAGTAGGAGAAGTGTGAGCAGAGTTATAAAAGTATGAAATAGCCTAACTTATTCAGAGAACTGTATAAAATTCAGTATGGATGAATCTGTGGCTGGATTCAAGATGGAAATAGAAGTATAATAGTTACAAACAAGACCAGTAACCAGAGTCCAGATTATGAACCTTCATATAATCCAAGGAATAGTTTGGATATTATTATGTTGGTAGTGGCATTTTAGAAAAAATCTTTTGGCTTTAATATAGAAGATAAATCAGAAATTAACCAGATGAAGTCAGATAACACTTATGAGACTCTTAATTGTTTGAGAAAAAAGATCCATGAAATAAAATTGATGTATTACAAAAGGAAATGAAGAGAGTCATCAGAGATATATAACATTTTTGTTTACTATGAACTAAAGTTGTCCAAACAGTATCTCATAGCTAAGAAAACTAATATTAACCTTGCTGTGCATTAATAGAGATATGCTGACATATCACCAGTGGTAACTGTTTCCACACCCTTCCTTCTCTTGTTGGTCACATCAGTCTTTTCCCCAGCGACTGTCATTAACACCAAAGAGAGAGGTACAATCACCAGTAAAAACACACCAAGGATGGAATAAGCCAAATGTTAAACATTCAGTAAAAACAAAACAAAACAAAACAAGACAAAAAAACTGGTGAATGAAATGGTAATTTAACATGCACACCCTAAATCAGTCATAACTGCTTTATTGAACCAACTTGACTTAGCACAAGTAGGAAAGGTCTTTAGTCCTCAGACACTTTTCCAAATCCACACATCCTCCTGATCCATGCTGGTCAGATGATATGTTGTTAAGGTCGCAGAACATTTGTAGTTTCCAATCACAAGGCAAATTTCAGTTTAGTATTTTAGAAATTATGCTCAATACATATAAACATTTAAAATTTTCATTCACTTCAAGACTTCAGCTTAACCTTGGCTCAGACCTGTGTGGGACGGGGAATCCTTGTGAGGTTATCTGTCATTCCCACTTCCTTTCTTATTTAATGTTGCTGATCCTGGTCCCTCTGGGGCTGAGGAGGCACAGGGAGTGAGGTCAAGTCACCATCTGGAATGAAGGTGCCGAACTGGCACAAGTAGAGAGTCTCGTGTTGGGTTGCTCTGCATGACAGACACAAGTAGGGCCGCTGTGGTCTTCTGCAGACCTTTGCCTGATGCTCCTCAGATGCCTCAGTGCCTCTGGCTGGCCGCTAAGGCTGTGACCCAAGCCGTGGACCTCTGAGGTCCACCAGCTGTTGAAGTCTTGTTTCGCCTTCAGGCGCACCGCTGTGCTGAGTGTAAACTCCTTTAAAATGGCCATAGATTTTATTCTTTAGAGTCTCGTTTGGTTCCCAGAAAACAAGTACCTTTGTCCTAGAATTGGCGTCATTGTGGCTTGCTCTTGTTTCAGCCTTCTTTTCTCATTGCACTGTTGTCTCTTCATGTTTAGATGTCTCGGGCATGAGCCAAATACAGTCTCTATGTGTGAGCCAAGCTCCCAAAGTGGTTCTCTTGAGGAAGCAGCAAAGCATCACTAATATGTCAGTACAGAGGGTTACTCGTTGCTTGCATTTCTTCCTCCTGTTCCGCCTACCACTTTCTGGATAGCTTGGAGATGGTGAAGAATGACATACAGCAAAACTTATTGCCTAATATTTGAGTTCATGATTATTAGCCAGTCTAGAACCTTGCTTTGTGATGTGGTAGTATCTTCTATTACTGTAATATTTGAAGCCTTTGGGACCTCAAGGAAAATTAAGAAAAGTTCCTAACTTTGAAGCCAGTGTTATAAAATGACTGGAAAATACAGGGACCCAGATTTCAAATTGCTTTTCTTTTTTTTTTTTTTTTTAAGATTTTATTTATTCACTTGACAAAGAGAGAGATCACAAGTAGGCAGAGAAGCAGGCAGAGAGAGAGGGGGAAGCAGGCTCCCCGCTGAGCAGAGAGCCCGATGTGGGGCTCGATCCCAGGACCCTGAGATCATGACCTGAGCTGAAGGCAGAGGCTTAACCCTCTGAGCCACCCAGGTGCCCCACAAATTGCTTTTCTAATATGGAGATCTCTTCAAAGAAGAATAAACTGCTTTAGGGAGTTCTGAGTTTTTTCTTTTTTTCTCCCCCCCCCATTGGACACCATTTAAGAAAGTGTCAGTGATTAACCTGTTTATATCAGAGACAACTTCATGACTGTGTAGTATGCATTTGCACAGGGCTATACCTTTAGAAAGGCCTGTGCTTATTTTTTTTTTATTAACATGTATTTCAGAGGTACAGGTCTGTGATTCATCAGCCTTACACAATTCATAGAATGCACCATAGCACATACCCTCCCCAATGTCCATCACCCAGCCACCCCATCCCTCTGACCCCCCTCCCCTCCAGGGCTTGTGCTTATTTTAATATTCTCCTGTCACCTTCTGGAAATTGTTCATAATTTGTTAATAAAAAGCCCTGAATTTTCATTTTGCATTAGGACCCACAAATTACGTCACCAGTTTTAATGAATACTGTTGTACTATCTGGGTTGGAAGATTAGAATCTAAATGATTGAAAAAGCCCTTCCTTTAAGTTTTAACATAGAAACAATGTTAATACCAATGAACGTTAACAAATGTATGTATTTACAAGCTATTTAACATACTTTATAGTTTGTGAATATAACTCATGTAGTAAAAAAATTAAGATTGAATCACTTTTTACTGATTCTGTACCGTCTTTATTATGGGTATTTTTACTAGTAAGTTTTCTTACATGAAATATTATATGATCAAAATGTGTTGTGTGCAATATTCCAGACTTACTATAAATGTTTGTTCTACTTCTTAAACTTACCAAAAAATTGAAAGAGTACAATTATATTGAGAAAAATACTCTTTAAAAGTCATTGCTACATTTTTATGTAATGATTTGGTATTCTGTTAATGTAAGCATCCTTGCTAGAGAAATTCTGAGCGCTGTCTTTTTCCCCCTTTAATGGGATTCAGTATAATTGACTTTCATTTTTATTTATTCTTTCTTGGAAGGGAAACATCTGGGAACAGATTTTACGAATACCCTTCATCTTGGAAATAATTAATGCGGTTCCCTTCATTATCTCAGTAAGTCCTAAAAGCATCTTTAAAATAAATAATTTTGTCATTAGACTTAAGTCTTTAAATCTAAATACTAATAAATAATACATTAGCTCCAATAAATGATTTTAGGCTTTGGTTAGGATCATGGTATTAAAAATCAATAGTAAAATCAGTTGGATAACTGGATTATGAAATTAAATGAAAACAAATGAGATTTAGTGCGATAACAAAATAAAATACTTTTTCAGACATATATGCTCTGGATGTGCCATGTGAATAGGTGTTAATATTATCTAGATAGAGTAGAAATTAATCACTCCATTTCTTGTGTATATTGCAGAATTTAAAAAAAAAAGAAGAAATTAACAAGAAAAAAAATCAGACCTATAAGTACAGAGAACTGTTGGTTGCCAGAGGGAAGGGAGTGGGGGGTTGGGCAAATTGTACCCAATTTGGTGCAAGGGAGTGGGGATACAGGCCCAGTTATGAAATGAATGCCATGGCAAAAAAAGGCATAGCTTAAGGAATATAATCAATGATATTGTAGTAGTGATATCATAGGACAGATGGTAGCTACCCTTGCAGTGAACATGGCATGATGTATAAACTTGTGAAATCACTAAGTTGTACACCTGAAACTCATATAACATTGTATGTCACCTATACCCAAATTAAAAAGAAAAAAAGAAACGAAGTATTGATAAAAGTTTCTCATACTGAGCATATATTTATTTCTAGCTTAAACACAATATTTACTAAGTCCAATTCTCCCATTAATAAGAAAGTTGCCAACAGCCAGACAATTAGCAATTTGCTTCTTTATCAAAGTACTGTGGAATACCAATTCTACAATGATCCTGCTCAATTGCAGCCCCATAAGTATGTAACAAGCACTTTCCCATTGCAAAATTAGGTCTTAATCTGTATTTCATAGAGTTATGATAATGTCTGTTGGGGATATGCTTTCTAACACTTCCTTTGAACTTTATTTGGAAAATTATGAAAATAAGCAAATACTATTTTAAGTGGTTGCTTATTTCTGACAATTATTTTAATTTGAGTGATTTATCTAGAGGAACAACTGGAACTAGATTAAGACAGGCTAAGTAAATATAATCCAATTGAATATGGTTCCCAATGTCACTTAAAATGTTTGAATCTGAAGAGAGTAAGCGGTAATGTTATGAAAAGGGAAAGCCTTCTCTCCCTCCTTATTCCTACTTTCCCCCTCGAGCTGTAGGGAAGAAAGAGGTGATGTCTATTATAAACTGTCACAATGAAAGATTAATGATAGAATTACCATAGTTATAGCTAACATTCAATCAGAGCTCATTTTTTTCCTTTCTGCTTCTACAATAATTTCCCAAAGAATTTTTCCCTAAGTAAGACTTAGACCAATGAATGAAAAGATTGGATCTTCTCCTTGCATTTCATTAATGAGCTTAAAGAATTTATCACATGTATTAAAAATTTTAGTCTTTATTAACTTTTTTTTGGTTCTACATTTTAATCTGCTGGATATGATTTTTGCTTTGAGATAAAAGTTTAGTTTTGGTTTGTTTTTTAGATCTTCTGGCCTTCCTTAAGGAATCTATTTGTCCCTGTCTTTCTAAACTGTTGGCTTGCCAAACATGCCTTGGAAAATATGATTGTAAGTATGAAAATGAAGTGTAAATACAATATTTTTACCCTTCCATTATTTCTTACATACTTTCACTGCTTATATTAAACAGAAAGAGAAGATGATTTGAGGTCTCAGTCTTGTACTTCTCCATTTTTCTTTCTCCTATGAAATATAAACTCATACTGTTGTGATTTATTTAGGTATAATTAAATTTCTAAATTCTTAATTTTTAAAAGAAATAAATTTACTTTAAATTAATAATTAAAAAATAAATTTAGCATCCCAATAAATAATTTCATTTAAATATTTGTAAAAATGAACGAGGTTTTTATCAAATAAAGTAGTATGTTATATTAATATTGAAGACCTTAAGTCTGCTTGTATCCTAATTCAGAGTAAAAACTTTTTGGGCTATCTTAACTTGGCCCATATTGCCAAGTTACCACCTTTGTAAGTCCCTGTGACCTGGTGAACAAAAACAGTTCCGATTTTCTAAATATCACCAGTCCAGAGCTACCAATAACTTTGGTTTTTTTGTCTTAAGAAGAGAACAAAAGTAGTTACCTTACAGACTTTGCTATAAGAATTAAATGAAACTACATATATGTATAAGCACATAGGTGTGTATGGGGGGGTGGGTGTGTGTATAAAGTATTGTATCTGACATAAAAATAGTAAGGACTCAATACTGTTAGTTTTACTATATTGAAATTACATTTGTTTGGAAGCAAACTGGTTTTCCTTTTAAATGTTTTTGAACAGAAATGGAACACAAAAATTTTAGCCAAAGGAATATTTGTGTAGCATTTGAGTATTCACAATCAAATGAATGTTTCTAAACATTTATGTTAAATAACTACTGGAATCTCATGAAAATACATGTCCAAATGATAGGGGAGTATGACCTGTGGAATGGTTTGAAGAAATGTTGGGCTGTCTTCACTATTCCCCCCCCCCCCGCAAAATACTATTTCACTAAATAAAGATTGCCTAAACTGCTAAAGAAAGAAATACACAGGGAAAAAATAAACCTCTTTATACTAATTTGTGTTCTTAGTTGGTGGAAAAAATTTGCCTAATCAAGGGAGTCATTAGTCAGTCACTGAGAGTGAAAGTAGTATTTTGCAATATTAATTTAGGATTCATTTTCCATTGTGTTTCTGTATTTTGCTTCTCTTTTCACTGGTTGGAGAAATTTTTATTTATTTTTCTGCTCATTAACACGTCTGTTAAAAAGAAAGTAAGGGATGAGAGGTTAACTTCTAATCAACTTAGTTTTTTGTTTTCTTAACAGTTCTGGTTAAGTATGTGGTAGAGGAGGATAAAATAGTGGCTTAGTGAGATTTTATATTGGTGAAGTGATTCATTGCATGCAACACTGACTTTAAGACAGTTAAAAGTTCATTATAAAATATTTGAGATGAGCAGAAACCTACAAAGTATGAAAAAACCTGTGAATCTACCAATATACTCTATAATAATACTATATTATATTATATATATTATTATACTATAATAATAATTTATATCCTTCTAATATTTCCTATAAAAATACACATATCATATATGAAATTACAGTATATTTTCAGTTTCATAATTTGAATTTTGAATTTTGTTTTTGTAGTGCTCAATTTCATATGTCTTCAAATCATTTTTTATAGCTGCATATAAATCTGTTATATGATTTTGATCATTTTATTTAACCATTTTGTATTGCATGTTTTAGTTATTTTAGTAGCAATGAACATTTATTATATTTATTATATATATATTCATATAAGTATTGTAATTTTGTAATAAGGTGAACATAAATATTAATTTTTATCTCTGGTGATTTTCATGTGGTCAGTTTTTAGAAATTATGTTATTGAGTAAATACTGATTAAATTAATTAATGAATGCATGAAATAAAAAGAGCATGGCTGTGACCTGTGTTACCGAATCACCTTCAAGAAATTTTATAACAAATTACATGGGCAAAATCAATCATTTCTGAGTGCTCATGTTTTATATTTTAAACAATACTGAGTATTATTATTTTTTAATGTTTTTCAATTGGAAACATAAAAAGTATATCTTTAATTCATCTTTATATTAATGAATTTAAATTTAAAAATTCTATTCATTGACTGTTTTGCATTTTCCTTTTCCTGGCATATTTCATGTCATTTTTCCTGATTCAGAGAATGAGATGTGATTGTAGTTTGACTTAGCTATTACTATTAAAATTAGAATTTTTCATTAGAGACATTACTTACTATGGTGGACTTTTTAGGAGTCAGTACAATATCTCTGCAGATCTTGATAAGGGGAGAGTAAACTGAAATTTGGGGCTTTGGTGGTCCCCCATAGTACTATCTTTGTAATATGAATGCTAAGGTAAAGCATATTTAGACCTAGGCAAAAATGGAAATATGAAGCTATATCCATTTAAAGTATATCCATTGAATGTGCACAAGATAAATATAATATGATGAGGTACAATACACACTAACAAATGTAGTGAAACTCATGGATATGTAGTGTTTTCAAAATTAAAATAGGCTTCTTTGGTTTTATTTTAGAATGATCTGCACAGAGCCATTCAGCGTACACAGTCTGCAATGTTTAATCAAGTTTTGATTTTAATATCTACATTACTATGCCTTATCTTCACCTGGTAAGACTGTACATACCATTTTCATTGTCTCATTTAATTATAGTTTTTAAATATACCTCATTTTAACTCAGTTGGCTAAAATAAGTAGAGAAATATTCACTATAAATGTAAGGAGTCACCTATAGACATAAAAGTAAAATCTCTCCTTCAGTCTTACAGAAAAAACTAGAAGGTGCATCTATCATTTGATACTGATGTTTACTGCAACTTTGACATTTTCCCAAATGTTGTAAACAATCAAATTACAAGAATTTGTACTGCATGCCACAGTTGTCAAACAAGAAATTTTCTTTCAAACTGCTGACATGGAGGTGCCCTTATCTTTCTACAATCTTCAAAGCGGAAACACTGTTGAGAAAACTGTCATCGCCTGTCACCGTCTCTGCCTGTGCCTTCCCTCCGTGACATTTTAGTGTGCAGTCAGGCAGGAAGCAAGGGCAGATCTCCTGACAAAGCAATGCAGGACCTGGTACTTCGCTTTATTATAGAACACAGTTATTTCTTCTTCTGGAAAGTCTCACTTTGATGATTATAAAGTAATCCAGTGGGAAATGTTGTGCTGCACATATGGATTCATATAGATCCTTAAGAGGAGAAAAAATGTGAAACCTAAAAAAATGAGGTAGTGGGCGCCTGGGTGGCTCAGTGGGTTAAGCCTCTGCCTTCAGCTCAGGTCATGATCCCAGGGTCCTGGGATTGAGTCCCACATCGCACTCTCTGCTCAGTGGGGAGCCTGCTTACCTCTCTCTCTCTGCCTGCCTCTCTGCCTACTTGTGATCTCTCTCTGTGTGTCAAATAAATAAATAAAATCTTTAAAAAAAAATGAGGTAGAATAATATATCTGTTTTGTAGGAGTCCTAGATATTATATGTAATTGTGCTCTGTCCTGGATTTGACCTATCGAGAAAGAGAAAAAGTTAATTAGGAAGTACAAAATAAGAAGAATGCCCTCATATGCTAGTACAATTGAATTAGATATAAATAGAGTTATAGATATATATAAACATAGGTAGAGATATGTAGGTATAGCAACTACTTTGTATCAGTACTTTGTAGTTAATTCTCTATTAACTGGATTTAAAATAGGTTTTCTTACATACTTTATATCTTGAAAAATAAATACAGTTTAAGACATTAAATGTCCTTAAGTATAAAATATCTCTCTAAAATTGACACAAAGCCATCTTATCATTTTAATCTTTTTTACTGCTCACAAATTGTTTTTATTGTTCACCTAGTAAACACCTAGCTGCATAAATATGAAATATTAAAAGGAATGATTTACCTTCTAAAGTCACTAAAAATTCTTAATTTTAAGATAATAACATTATATTAATAGTTTAGGAGGTTTTTTTTTCATTTTATTTATGGAAAAATACTCCAAATTAAATTTTTTTGAATACCTGTGTACATGCTAATATTTCAAACGCTGGAAAATTACAAAAAGTGAAATGAATGATTTTAAAAATATTATTAGAGTATGTTAAAATAAATTTAGTAAAGAGGTAATTGAAATATTAATGCTGAGGGGCGCCTGGGTGGCTCACTCAGTTGGGTGTCTGTCTTTAACTCAGATCATGATTCTGGGGTCCTGGGGTCAGACCCCTCACTGGGCTCCTGCTCCGCAGGGAGTCTGCTTCTCCCTTTGCCCCTCTCCCTGCTCAAGCTCTCTCTCTCAAATAAATAAATAAAATCCTTTCTTAAAAAAAGAAATATTAATGCTGAAATAAGGACAAGTTATTTTTATCTGAAAACACTTCACTCAGCACTTTTGTTTTGAAGACATCCTCATCATAGTGGTGGGCTCTCTGCTCTTACTTTTTGCCTTTTTGTCTATTTCTTGTGTAGTTTTTATTTTCTAAAGAAGCAAATAGACAAATTTTGCTACTTTCTCATGCCTAGGGATGCAGCAGTGCTAGATAATGGGTTTTTGTGGTGTATATGAAATGGCCATTATGCAGTTTATTTATCATTTAAATTATTTGTGTTTTACTTTTTATCTGCTGTTGGAGTTGCTTTTGTTGTTGTTCTTGCGTGTTACTGGTTTTCATAATGTACATTATAAATGTGCAGAGTTATTGCTTTTAATCACGTGTACACCAATACATTTTTTATTAATACATTTACATAAACATGTTTTTTAAATTATAATACCTAAAACGGAGAAGCTGAAGTTTGATGTCTCTGTGTATTCTTCTCTAGCATTCAAAGCAAAATGTCTCCATAAGTCATGACCATCATATGAGGGTAGAATAAATCTTTTTTTGAATTCACCATCAAAACTGTAGTTATTGATGAGAAAAATATAAACACTGTTGTATTAGTTATAATTCACAGGCTGTTTTAACAAAGAGATATACCACACAGACACTGTGAAATACAAGTATACACAAAGGTTCAGAAACTTAAACAAATGGACACGTGTAAGTAGTCTGTCCAAGAAGGTTACATCAGCTTCATATTAATGGATACTAAATTTCCTTAGAATTTGTTTTCTGCCATTCCCAAAACATGGTTTCTGTAACGTGGCTCGAGATGGCTAGTCTACTCTTGCCATTATATCCTGAATCCAGCCTGTAGGAAGGAAGAAGATAAAGCACAACCCAGAAATTACATGCATAATATAGCCTAGAATTTGCTCATATATCCAAATGTAGCCGATAGGGAGTCTACAGAAATCTGGTCTAGCTGGGAAAGAATATACCCAGCTGAATGTTGTACTATCATGGAAGAGAAAACCAGATACTCTGGAACAATAAGCAATCTCTTGCACTGATAAGTTATAAAAGCCCATATGTATATCACTTGTTTAAAACTCAGGGCTATGCCAGTTTGGAGCCTATGGGCAACTTACTGAAATTATCCAGCTTTATTTGCCACATTATTAAATGAGGATAATATTAATTATCCTATAAGACTTTTGCCATACTTTTCTTTAATGAAGACTAAATTAGATATGCTTATACAATGTCCATCAGAGGATGTGGCATTTGGTATGAACACTCCAAAAATTTCATTTTTTTCCACCTCAGTCTTCCATATATTCTGTATCTTCCGTATATAAGATGATTAAATTACGTGACTGCACAAAAACTAATTTCATCTAAAAGATCTAGGCATAGTAACTTAATAATAATATAAAGCTGAACTGAGATGCCTAAAAATATATTTAATGGGACATATGAGGAAACATTTTCCTTCATTATAATGTATAGGTTTTCTGTACTTTCTATTTATTCCTAATATTTGTTTCCTCTAGTTAGCTCCACTAAGTTAAAAGTATTGGTAGCATCTCCCTCTCTCTGGTTACCTTTACTACTTTATACTATACAAATTCATACACACACACACACACACACACTCTCTCTCTCTCTCTCTCTCTCTATATATATATATATATATAAAATTATTTTTTTACATTGTGATGAGATTAGCCTTAATTGCAGTTACATTATGTCATAGAGCAAGACTGTTAGTGCTTTTCCAAATCAGAATTTTTCATGCATACAATTTAAGCCCCCAAAGATTCAGGAGATAATATTTGATGAGCTGGATGTTTTCACGAATTTCACAATGTTAAAATTACCTGTTTTGGAAAGCTGCTCTATAGTTTTAAAATGTATCTTCTCTTCATCATGATTAACATTACAAAGAACTATCATTAAGCATCTGTCTACAAGAGATACATGCCAAACTGAAATAAAATTAAGCTGCTGACCCACTCTCTGTAGGGGATGTGCTCAGAATTGTTTTTCCTGTCATTGTAATGGAATTTGGACTAATCTTTCCCCACATCCGCTGTGTACCCCTCTTGATCAATAATGCACACTTCCAAGACAGCTGGGAATTGTGATTCAGCCTGTGTCTCTGTAACAAAGCAGAGGAAACTGGTACATCGGGAATCAAGCACATGACTTTAGCTTAATTATCAACATATTCTAACCAATAATAAGTACTCTAATTTGTAATGCATTTGGTGTTTCTAATTTTACACTAGTAGGCTTATTTTGCACCTACTTTGTTTCAAACTGTAATTTTTTATTTGAATATGTATGTTTAGATATTTTCACATTATTTCATAGAGCTGTAACATCAAGATCTGAATTATATTCATGGGTATTTCGTGTTTTAGCCTAATGTAAGAAATTTAGTTTACCTTCTCAGTCTCATTTCAATGGAAAAAAGAAATCCATTTATTGTTTAAAAATATGACCTAGTTAAAATTATTAACATGCTTAATTCAAAAAGTATTTGGAATTTTCTTGTACATCTTTGATTAACACTTATTTTGATGCTCGGTGCTGAAGTTCTTGAACTCTTTTTACTGATTTAACTCTTAAGGCAAATAGCCTTGTGACAGGAAGTGGACAGTGAAAAAATAAGAACTGAATTTTAGAGAAAGTATTAAATCATCATCTAATGGTGTTATCGCCATCATGGTATTTGGTCACTAGATTTGTTTGGTCACATTTATTTTGGTTTATTACCAATGAATGACAGAAAGTGTGTTTGTCTGAAGATCTGGAAACAAAGAGCCCCCAGGTTTGTATTACACTAGAACATATAGAAAACTCTTTGTCCCAACTAAATTTTCCGTAAGTGGGCAGACAGATGTTAGACAATTAGAATTTAAACCATCATTGAGTTATGAGGGTAATGTATAGTTATTTTCAGACATACAAAAACTTAGAAAGTATGCTACCTACCTATTATTAAGTATGTACTGCAGGAATAAGAAAAGAATAAAGCGAAAGGAAAAATGTATAGCTTATGAGAATCTATGGTTTATGCAATAGCAGCACCTTAGATCTTTCTCTGGGAAACCCCATTTTCATACTGAGTTGTATCAGAAGTGCAGTTGAGGGCTTATCCAGGAAGAGGCAGAGTCACCATTTTTAATTTCGGTGACATAGGTACCTAACCAAAGGATGTTTTCAATTAGAAGGTGGGGTGAAGGGGTGAGAGAAAGCCAAAGTGGTTGTGCCACAGCAATTTTCATG